TTTCTCTCTTCTCACAGCAGAAGGATCCATCTGGAATTAACCCTTAAGAAGGATTTAATAGCTTGAAACTCTGAACTGTTATAAATCTACTTAAACTCAAAAAGGAAGCTTGCCTGTGACTTTAATACGGTTTACAAACTTCTCAGTATAAACTTCTCAGTCCCCATAAGGGTTGTTATTAATATAAAAATGCCACATGTAATGACAAAAAGACTAACCTTAACTTCAGTATAAATCTTTTTCTGAAATAGTCAACATACCTGGAGTTGAGTCAGTCTTTGTTCTTACAAAACCTGTAAAGAGGGGCAGAGATCTTAAAGGTCCTTTCATATCACTTGGGACATTGTCTCTCATGGACTGCAGTACTCCAGATCCTGGAGATAAGTGTTTCCCTTTTCATTCTTTGTTGTGCTAATTTTAATTGGAGACTATTGGCAAGTAAATAACATCTTGGATCTACAACTCAAAAAACTGCAACTCAGACATGTCTGGCTGCTTGTAAACTCAAGAACAACATTCCCTGCCTAGTCTGTATCGAGCCTAGGAATTGCCAGGACTTTAATAGGAACCCCTAAAGACTTTTCAAGAGAGTCCACAAAGACTGACGTTCTACTAGATGCACATTCCACATAGATGTTGTTGATGAAATGTAAGCCCAATGATCTTTTTGAAAATCTAATTAACGGAAACCACATTTCTCAATAGATGATCTCAATTTGGCTAATGAAATCCTAGGTGGTCTATTTTCCCATGGAAATTTTCTCAATAGCGTATCTATCTTAAGAAAATATTTATTTGGCATTAACATTGGGAGACTTCTTAATACATAGATTAATCTCGGGACAGTATGCATTTAATAAAAATTTCAAAGGATTTTGATCCATCTATTAATACCTAGGCAAGATTCTAATACCTTTAGCATATTTAATTCCCTATATTTAGCAATATTTTTACTAGGGCAAGTTTGGAATCTGAATAAGAATTTTCCAAGTCTGTGGTACCAAGTAACGGTTTCTTAAGTAAAGGGCAGATCACTGTTTCTTTCAAGGCAAGTGGAACCATCCCCTCCCTGAGAGAGGCATTCTCTACTGCATGAATTCAGCCACATGTCACCACCCAGGAAGACTTGACAGCTGGGGGGGGAGAGGGGGACATGAATCTGAAACAGAGGACATGGAACTCCCAGTCCCAAGGACCCTGTGCACTTCCTCAGGGCTAATAGGGGCAAACTCTTCTGAGATAACTGAGACGTTGGCTCCATAGTACCTACAAAGCCAGAGTACAACTACATGAATATCCAATCAACAATCCCTCCGTGCCCTGTCCAGTTTTTATAAATGCATATTAGGTTGACTAAGCACCCATGAGGAAATCACGGATATGGCAGCCTTGATTATAGATGAACCTTGCATTCAGCAGCAACAGCCAGCAATCAGGGGTGTTGAAGCTCCAAAGACCAACTGTTGGGCTCAACGTTGGGGGCTGCAATATGAAACTGGCAACAAAAACCAAAAATGCCCTCCCTGAGAGTGGCCTGCCATTGACTCCTACCCACTGTCCCATGCCCATTTATCATCCTGATATTATAGCCTGCCTTATCCCCCACCAGATCCTCCTGACCTGATCTGACCCTCAGTCCCCTCATTAAAGGTCCCCATTCAAACAAACCAACAACACACTCCTCCAAGTGGCCAGAAGATCTGAATGTTTGGATGCTTCTGATAGCACTTACTTGCTCCACGTCTATCCAACAACCCCACTCCACCCTTGTAGGCTCCCCACTTTCATCCCGGTAGGCAACAGGGAAACACACACACACACACACACACACACACACACACACACAC